TATATATATAAAAGAAAATAATGTATTAACATATCTATAAATGGTAGATAAATGATATAGCCGGATTCCTTTAAAGTTGCATTATTAGATTACCACCTAAGAAATGAAGGGCATTACAACATTATTATTCTCTCTCTTTCTTCTTTTTGGCTTCACCTCGTACCTTCCTTCAGCCACTGCCTTTGATGTGTTGGACACAGATGGCAAACTTCTTCGAAACGGTGGCTCATACTACGTGGTGCCAGTCAAAAGAGGAAGTGGCGGGGGAATAGAACTAGCCGCCACGGGAAACGAAACTTGCCCTCTCACCGTTGTGCAATCTCCCAATAAAGCCTCTAAGGGGAACCCATGCTTAGTGCTTTCCTCAATCTTGTTTGCTTACATAACCCCAAACTTTCCCTTTCAAATCAACTTCGCTTCTGTTCCCACTTGCGCGCCCACACTTTTGTGGACCGTCGTGGACGGGCTACCGGAAGGACCCGCTGTGAAAATTGGTGGTTACCGTGATGCACGAAGTGGTGCGTTTCAAGTTCAGAAAGCTTCCCACAGGGGCTGTAACCATTACAAGCTTTTGTTCTGTTTAGATGACACGTGTGAGGATATTGGGGTTTATGTCGATAGTGAAGGAAATAGGCGTTTGGTGCTCACTAAGAATGATCCTTTGTTGATTCAGTTTCAGAGAGTTACATCGTCAACTGCGTGAACTAGTATCGGAAAAGTGTAAGACTAAGTAAATAAATGCTTTAGTTGTAATGATAAATGTTGAGTAAACTAAATAAAATCATCAAAGCTTATGCCTTTTGGATGTATATATTATAAATGTTTGGTTTAATAACTCGTGACCTAATTGATAGTGTGTTGTGGAGGGAATCTATACAAGAAATTTTATTTTTGATTTTTGCCATGTGTAACTCTTTCATGTTAACGATGATTACAATATCACGAGTTTGTTTAGTTATGTGACTGGAAAAAAAGATTTAGTATATTAGAGATTAAATCTACTTTTTAACATGTAGTTTTGTAAATGTTTACTTATGATCTTGAAAATTTTATTACAATTTTGATCTATTAACTTTTAAAATTAAGTAATATCGATATATGTTCATATCATAAATTTTAGAATTAAACAAATCATGCCTAATTTTTAAATCATACATCCAACCCTAATTCTTAATATATAAGATGATTCAAATCAATCATCAAAATCCATAATTTTACCAAGACAATGTAATATATGCTAATTCAAGAGCAAACAAATGTGCATCCACATTAAATCAATTAATATCCTATGAGGCTTAAGAATTGTATCACTACTCATATCTCTCATATATATCCATGAATGAAACCTTCTCATCACTCTCTCTTACTTTAAGTAATAATTTTGTAGTACTATTCACTTCCTGTACTCTCGGCCGCTACTTTACACTTTCTTTGGTGCCCTCTTATAGAAATTTACAAATGCTTTTAAAGTTTCAAAAGATACATAAGAAAAACTTTTTATTTTTATTATTAAAAGTCTTCGGGTTAGATAATTTCCAACCCAAACTTGCCTTCTTTTTGTTAACCCCTTCTTATTTTATTTAATATGTAAGAATATTATTTATATTATAAATTTAATTAACTAATAAATTTGTAACGATCTGCAATGATCTCTACAGTAAACGACACAACTACTAACTTAATATCATATACTTACAAATACTAGAATAGGTACAATATTGTATGTATATAAAGATGAAACAACTACTCTAATATGTGCAATATACATAGAGTAATCTTGAACATGTAAATATACAACTAACTTGTCAGTCAAACAACTATAATACTATCTACACAAATATAGCCACAATAGGTAATCATCAAAACATCTAGCTCCAATGCCACTGTATGGCCTCTATTGCAACACTCCGACCCTATCTCTGCTTGCTCTCATATCATGTATGATCATCGCAGTTCAAACCACATGGAAACATGCAAAGGTAAGTTAGGAAAAAAAAGAAATAATATATATATATATATATATATACACACACAATATAGGAATATCACATCATCATCTCATATTTGACAACAAAGCATCACAACATACACCATAAATCAATAGAATCCAACTTGAATCAACACAACAACACATTTTATCATAGTTCAACTCAGCATATGAACAATGCAATCATTTCAACACATCATATGCTCAACACAGTAACTATATGCGTCGTCACCCATTTCAACTAGAAGATCTCCTACAACACAGGGTGAGTAATTTAAGTGGCTTGATCCTACCGAATCGACAACACAATATGATTTTTTTATGCTTGCTAGATCAACAAAAATTTGGATATAAATCCACAACATAGTAACTCAATTTCTTAGATGTAGCCACTTAAACAAGGAAGTATATAATATTAATGTTAGGATAAAACAGTTGGGTATATGTTTACCACGACATTAGCATAGCTTAATCAAGCCTCCTATGGGGTTAGCCCATTGATTATCCTTTAAATACTACAACTTTCCGATACTTAGTTAGGAACTAAATTTCCGACTTTGTACTTTACTTGGTTGGTCACTTATAATCAGTATAGCTCGACCTTATCAACACAAGGTACCAACAAAGTCTTAAAGGAGAAATAACACAATACCCACTTCAAGGATCAACTTCCCAAGAAGGGTTTTCAATAAATTGGGCTTTTAGAGCACAACAACACAATATTCACACAATGGGATATGCTACTTTCAAAAATATCTCCTCTAGTCCTAATTGGTCAACACAACTCAACAACATAGTAACTCATTATATTTTTCAATACAGCAACTCAATCAACACACAACTTGTTAACGCATATCACTTTCATCATAACTCATTTACAATTCTATGATTAACATGCATCTCAATAACACATCAACATTGTTCATATAAAATCCTAACACAGCTAAACAACATTACTCAACTCAACTTTCAACTTCACATCATGTCAACTTACACAAGGTAAACAACATATATCTTTACAACATTCACATCTGAAGAAAACAACATCATAAATCAACTTAAGCGACTAGAACAACTTACAACTTAATTATTTTTCAACAACTAATAGAACTTAACCAAATCACTTATTGTGAAATAGCAACCTTCACATAAAATAATGCATAGAAATTTGTTCTACTACTCCTATCATACTTATCCTTATCTTATCCTTATCTCATATGAAAGACAAGAAGATTTTCTACAACTTTTATGAATAACCTAGATCCTAATTCCATCATCTACCATGTTAAAAATTGTAAAAATCGCAATAATTTGCCTAAAGGCTGACAACTTGACCTTTACTCACTAATAAAAAGGTCATAAATGGAGTTCTACACCTCTTTTTTAGGTGATTCTAAAGCCATTGAAAAGCTAACATTCAATGCTACAACTTTCATAAAGACATCAAGACCAAATTTGGCCATCTACCCTCAACATTGTAGCGCTCAACTCAACGCTTCAACATTGGATTTCTGTTAGCTCAGTTTCTTTCCAGGGCTACAACGCTTCAACTCTAGTTCTCTACCAATTTAGTTCTTCCCAGGGCTATAGCGCTCAACTCAGTGTTGCAGCACTAGATCTTTGCCAACTCAAGTTTCCCCACTATTGCAGCGCTCAACCACTGTTGTAGTGTTGAGTGTAGAAATTTTCTACATTTTCATGGTCTCCTCTTCATTTCCTCACCTTCACTTCACCAATATTCCTCCTAAACACTATTTACCAGTCATTATCTCTACTAAATTCATTCATGCAACCCGAAAATTATAAAAATTTCAACATGCATGCATCAAAACTTCAAAGGAATCATTGAGAACATCAAAATTTTAGTTTCAACATGAAACCAACATCAAATTCATCCCCAAAGCTACAATTTTAAAAGATTCTACTGATTTTAAGTTCTCAATTCATTTAACAACCCAACATTTCAACAAAACTCAAGGTATCCAACTTCCCTTACCTCGATTCCGAGCTCTCCGAGAGGAAGAAAAAAAAAAGAACGAATAACTCCGAGCTATATTCCGAGATAGAAGAAGAGAAAGAGAAGACAACCCCACATACTACTAGGTTGAAGCTCCTAACCCCAAAACTCAGATTTCCTCACTTGTTCTAGTGATCAATTGTGAAAATGATAAGGAAGGAAGGACTTAAGTGAAAAATGAAAGATAAAAGAGAAAGGAAAAAAAAAGTGTTTAGATTCTCTCCATTGTGAGTCATATCTTACAAAATTAATATTAATTAACCAAATCTATAATATAATTCTTATTAAAGAGAATTCATTTTACTTGATTTCCCAAAATTTCAAAAATTACACTCGTGATGTGATGTAAACTTAAATTGGTGAATTATAAAGCTAGTGAATGTTTCTATGTCAGTTTTAAATTCCTCAATTATGTCGTTAAATAATTATGAATAACATTTTATTATGAATTTACCTATATAAGTTAAATGTTAAAATTAAATTAATATTTATAATGATAAAGAAAAAGTTACTCTTGTTTTCAATTAATATTTCAAGTAATTTTATAATAATAAGAAAATGAGGTTAAAATAAAATTAAATAAATTCTGGGATATGTATCGATATGATTGGATGTCATATAGTAATTAACACTGCAATGTTTATACAATTTGTTGAATTTCACCTGGAAGAAAAAAACTACACGGATTTGGATCCTCTTTCACCAATTATATTCTCTCCATCCTCTCAATCTAGCTCTCTCCATTTTTCTTTTTCTTCCTATCATTCAGCTTCCAATTTTTTTAATATTATTTTTATCCTTATCTTTTTGTATTTTATTGGCAGGAGGGCTGGAGAGGATCCTCAGACAAACTTAACCCCCCAAATTTTAAAGCAAAAAAAAAAATTAATCAATCCTTATATATAATGAATGATTATTTTACGTAAAAAAAAAATATAATATATTTTTTTCGATAACAGGATTTTAATGATATTTTTAACTTCATATTTAATAGACTTTTGTCTATAATACTTGTTTATAAATTAAATTTTAACATTTTAAAATAAATTATTAATAGATAAAAATATTATTGTTATAATATAAATTATTTACCATAAATTTAAAATATAATTTATATATTCAAACATAATATTTATTCATACACATAATTGATTTTAATTATATATATATATATATATATAAATATATATATAAAAGAAGGGATCCACTTACTTTGGAAATAGCTTAGATATACTCTATTTAATAATTCAAATTTCAATGATTCAACCGTTGACTTAAAAGTTTCTAATGTATAGATTAAGTTTGCAAATTTTTAAAAATTTTCAAAATTATTTGATACTTTGTTTCATTAATTAAAAATAATTTTTAATTTTTTTTTATCATTATCCGTCAATTTGAAAATTTTATCTATGTATTAAAAACCTTTAATTCAATGGTTCAATCATTAAAATATGATATCAAATTTAAGTTATTGAATAGAAGAGGGTTATAATTACACTGGTGTAACTTTTACTAAGTATTACACTACTCAATAACCTTATATTTAATGTGAATTTTGTAAATCCAACCGTTAGATTGAAAGTTCTTTACTATTATATCAAATATATAAAATTTCATATTAATCAAAGATGATTTGATACTTCATTTTTATAAAACAAAATTGACGTAATATATTCATTTCAAAATATACTAAAATATAAACACTTTAATTACCTTCAAGTTGTTGTTCAATTTTAACAAAATTTAATATACACATATAAAGTGATATGATTTTTCAGTCTAACGGTTGAGTTTACAAAATTCGCAATTAATATAAAGTTATAAGGCAGTGTAATACTTAATAAAAGTTATAGTGATATAATTATAACTCTCCTTATATATATATATGAGA